TCTCGATGGGTAGATAGGGTGTGAAGATGACCTGACGCGTTCAATATGATGGTCGATTTCCTTGTAAAGTCGATCACAGAAAGGAAATAAGGCAGCAACGAACCTGTAGAATTTGCACTCTATTACTAAAACTCGGCTTCAGAAACTCTCAGCAGGGAATCGGTCAGTCTGTACAGACCTGCCGAAAAGAGATTGTGACGCCTGTTTTTTAATATAGTAGAAATTTCTCTGTAAAAAAGATTGAGTAGAACAAAAGAGCAGTTTGTTTTGAATTTAACCATGTCCTCTAGTGTTACCTCACACTATTGACTATAACCTCCAATAGAGAACAGTGTTAGTAGATAGGTGTTCACCGATTATTTACAGGGCACACCCGCCCTGGTTTTTGACACAAGGGTTTCAAAAACCAGGGCGGGTGTGCCCTGTAACTGAACGGTGTACGCCTATCTACTAATATGTAGTCCCGATCAACAACCGGCAAGACGTCGCACCCGTAGCCTAGTGGTTAGGGCATTGGCCTCTAACGAACAGGGTCGCGGGTTCGAAACTCGAGTGTGGCGGCAATTTCCGCTGCTACACTGCAGTTGGGTATCTCCAGCTGATGACGGCTGACAAGCCAGAAAAGGCCTTCCTGGAAGTCCCTGTCTTGACGGTACAATGTCCTAAAGAGAATATTATATTTAGTCCTGTGATTACCTTCACGATTTCAGAAAAGCAGAAATTACTTGTGTTTAATTTGAAGTGGGGTCAAAGGGACTTACAGCCAGGGTTTCCTTTCTAAGTATCATAGTGTAACACTAGCAGGGTAGAGTCTGATTGAGGGGAAATGGGCGCACTAACGAGGGAAAAGTCCGCGTTTACGCGTGCTACATAATTGCTAATCCCTGTGCGTGCACAAAATTCAACTTCGCCAAGCCCCTCAGAGAAGCCAAAACGGCTTCGGGTTTGAGGTAGAGAACGAGAATTACGACGCAAGTGCCCCACGCTTGCTTACTCCTCCATCTTGTTCCAACGAAAGAACAGAGCCAGGATAGCTGAGCTAGGTTTGGTAGCAGCGGTTGACTTGGCACGAAATACTGGCCCCATAAGGCATAGGATCCCTACTTTGGCCACTTGCATCTCTCCTTGTTCAGGGATATCAAAATAGCACCCCGAGAAGGAACCACAACAGTCGGACCATTCGTTTTGGGGTTTGGACTGGGATTTTGCCAGCGAACATTTTCCACCAACACTCTTCAACTGAACTACCCACTTTGAATAACCCCTATTCTGTCGTAGCCCGTTGACTCTTCACTCATTACCCGCTTAGTTGACGGTTTATATTGCGCCTAAAAGCAAAAGGCGGGCTTATTTTGCGCAACTTTACTGCGTTTTCCGAGGTTAAAATTACCTTTAGCTAAAAGGCTTTCCATTTCCGGTCTTTAACTGCGTCTTTTTCCTCTTTTCTAATCGATTAGCGCGTAACCCGAATATGCCGACTCGAGGTTGGTCAAATATTCTCAGCGAAGAATCATAAAGCTATGGGAAAAGATATGTAGTGTTATTACTTTAAGCAGTATGCATTTTCCCACTTTACATACACCGGGGCTTCTTTCTATGATCATAAGGGCCTGTTAGAAGATAGCTCTAGGAGAAATTTGTATCTGCTCATATTTTTCGACTTCTGCTTAAACGCATAACTAGAGATAAATCATCAGACAGAAGTCAAGCTATTCTGGCTAACTTCTTGTATGTCCTAATGGGTAACATCTCTTGATACCTTCTTTCGTGTACAGCTGGTGATAGGAGCCATTTCATTTTTGCCGGAGATAATCTTTCTATTTGTGTGACTTGTTATCAACGTTTTGGGTCGAAAATATGATGTTATTCATTTTACTTTTGTCTTGCACGATGACTTGTGACTGTCAAAGACGAATTGATGACCATTAAAGAAG